GGAGTGAGTCTAGGCAGTGCCACACACACAGACACACACTCACAGACACGCTCACAGACACACACAGACACACAGACACACACTCACAGACACACAGACACACTCACAGACACACACTCACAGACACACACTCAAAGACACACTCACAGACACACACAGACACATACTCACAGACACACACTCATAGACACACACAGACACACAGACACACACACTGGATTCCATGTGTATATGGAACATACATCTCCTCACACCTGAAAAGTCAAACAAGAAAAAAAAGGTCCTTATGCGTGCATGAGTGACTGAGGACCCACAGGGCAGCCGCTTTGGTTCTGGAGTGGGGAGAACTTGGGGGACTCACTCTAAGGGGCCCGAGGGAGCACTCTGGGTGGTGGGAACGCTCGAGTCTGGGCTTCATGTGGTGTACATGTGCCTGCACTTTTGTGAGAACCCTGCATACCTCCCATGTGACGCCCAAGTCGCCTCCCAATCACAGAGCAGTGTTGACTCCGTGTGTGGTCCATCTGGCCGGCTGAGGAGAATTAAGAATCAGCTTTGCAGACTGGAACCCTGAGTTTTGCAATCACACTGAAATGTCAGTGTTTGACAGTGATGAGGCATGGTGCTTGGCCACGCGCGGTGCAAAATTCTTTCAGGTCTCTCGTGTAGGGGATGGGAAGTAATTTCCTCCCAGTTGTCTGTGACATCCAGAGGTGATGGGTGGCGGTGTCCTCATTTCCTCCCTGTGACCGTGAAGCCATCACTCTGACACAAGCGAGCCAGGGGGTGGGGGATGTTATACTTCCAGGTCACAGTAGTTACTAAGGGAAGTGGGGTGGAACCATGGAGTTGCACTGCTTGAGGGCGTGCCTGGATAGTTTTCTTACATAGCCCCGCCCGCTGGCCTAGGAAGGGTGTCGCCCACAGTGGGCTGGACCCTCCCACATTAATCAACAGTAAAGACACACGCTGCAGGCCAGTCTGACCAGGGCAACCCCTCCCTCAACTGAGACCCCTCTTTACCTGACTCTAGATAACAGGCAAAGAGGACTTAAAACAAAATACAAATTAGCTGTGGGTAAATTTCAGTTCTGTTAAGTCTCGTGGGTCCTCTAAATCCACCTGTTAATAATTGTCAAATCCGATTGTGATTTGTGACTCTGTCCCCGTGGAGTGATTTATGAGACAGAACATTTTTAGTTTGTGCGGCTTTGGTGTTACACGAATTTTTCACAGGTTTCTACTCTCCTGAAATCGGTAAAAGACACGGCTCATTGGGGTAACAAAAAACAAAAGTGTTTTCCCAATCGATCTTCTGATTTCAGGGCTCTCTCATGGAATTGGGGTTCCCTCTCTAAGCACTTCCCTCCCCCCCTCTTTCCCTCTCTCTCCTCCATCCCTCCCTTCCCTCCAAGAGCTGGTATTATAAATGAGCGCGCCACTAAACTGGGTTGTTTTCATTTTGAACCTAACAATGGTGATTCCCATTTTCTCAAATCTTTCAACATACTATCAGCTCAAATTCTTGATGTAGAGTTAATTTTTTTTTAAAAATTGAAATTTTAGGGTGTTTATTTTCCAGAGAATTAAAAGAATATGTGTTAACTGCTTACCTGAAAAACTGTAAATGTTAGTTATGGCTAAGATGTAGTGAGAACCTTTTTTGCAGCATTGAGTACTGGTTACCTTGGACTTGTTTCCAAAGTCTAGAATTAGAAATTTCTCTGTGGTAAATGGGTGTGGGACCTGTGGTTTGTGCAGTGTACATGGGCACACTGTGTGCCTGTGCTCTGTGCAGTAGACATGGACACACTGTGTGCCTGGGATCTGTGCAGTGGACATGGGCACACTGTGTACCTGTGATCTGTGCAGTGAACATGGACATACCGTGTGCCTGTGATCTGTGCATTGGACAAGGACACACTGTGTGCCTATGATCTGTGCAGTGGACATGGACACACTGTGTGCCTGTGATCTGTGCAGTGGACAAGGACACACTGTGTGCCTGTGATCTGTGCAGTGGACATGGACACACTGTGTGCCTGTGATCTGTGCATTAGACAAGGACATGCAGTGTGCCTGTGATTTGTACGGGTTGGGCTGATGATTTTTAAGCTGTAGACATTCACAGCATTAGAATTTCTCACCACAAGTGAAAAATGCAGCGTCGTTGAGTTGGAGACCTCTGAGTTGGCCATACATGGAAACGCCAGGAGAGTTCTGTGGTCCACACGCCACAGGCATGTGAGGATGTGGGAGGATGGGAATGCGCCCTCTTAATCTTCCCGACTACATGTGCTACACATTAGCACGGTCTTTTTCGCATCTGGATTTTAATTTGTTGGTGACAGGATCTATATTTGGGGGAAAGAATTGTCCAGGCTAACCTTCTGCAACAACCATCGATTGATTAAATGGTTATTTTCCATGCACATCTAAGGAAGACGCAGACACCGTGGGTGCCTCTGACTGCTGTGTGAGCCAGGGGCAAGGTTAACAGAGGAGCCTGTTCCTCATTAGTGAGAGAAGGAATCCCTGGGAGCCGTAAACATACTTGGCAGTGGGACAAAGGTACCAGTGACTTAAAACCGTCGTAGCCTGTGACCTGCCAACACACCTGCAGCACCTGGCCAGACAGAGGCGTCTCTCTCTGCCTTGCGATTATTCTGAGAGAAGGCAGGGGCTCTCACATCCTCGAGCTGCATCCACCTTTGTCCAGCCTTGGAAATTCCTTTTATGTAGTTTTCTACCCCCTCTCCCCCTTTTGTTATCCAAGTAGCTATATGACAAAAACTTCCAGGACTTTTAAATGAAATCCCAAGTTCACTTCTGCCTGGACTGTGCCCACCAGAGAAATGGCCAGTGTTCCATGCCCTCTAAATCATGTGACTGGAATGTTTCCCTTTGTCGTCTCAGCCAGCTGTGCCTTCGGAGACGGTGGCGAATTCAAAGTGGCCGCCGTCTATCCACAGCGGACTTGTGTGTAGCTACCATTGTGCAATGCCGTCCAGCCTGTGTGCATTCTTTCAGATGTGTTTTAAAATTTTTTATTTTCGTCTTACTCCTGTGAGCATTCCCACAGTTTACATTCTTTTATCCCTTGGAGTTCTATTGCCCTGACTTCCATTTTCTTTTCTTTTTCTTTTTCTTCTTTTTTTCTTTTTTTGAGACAGGGTTTCCCTGTGTGGCTTTGGAGGCTGTCCTGGAACTAGCTCTTGTAGACCAGGCTGGCCTCGAACTCACAGAGATCCGCCTGCCTCTGCCTCCCCAGTGCTGGGACTAAAGGCGTGTGCTGCATTATTCTCCTTCCTCTTGGCTTACACCCTCCGAGTTTCTGGAACATTCTTTGCAAGACACTGAGGCCTTTCCTTCAGGCAGAATTTCACGACACAGCCAAGATGCCAAGACCACTGTCTGCAGAGAAGAGTTGACAAGTGTTGTTCTTTTGAGTCCAGTTGGGACCCAAGACACGGGAGCGACAGGGCGTTCCCTTGGCTGGCTGGCTGTGGAGATGTGGGCGCAGGTTGTGCTGTGTAGCGTGGATGGAGGAAATCAATGAGAAGTCAAACTCAGAGGGGATGACAGGCAGCCAGCGGTTCCTCAGTGGACAATGTTTGTGCCCGTCATCTGTTTCTGTAATGGCCTCTGATAAGGTGATCCTTCCTAGGTTCTGAATAACAGCTGTCTAGCCAGAGGGGATAAGTGAACCAAAGCTTATTGGAGAATCCAGGCCTCCCCACCCCACGAGAAGCTGTTTACCCATCATCCCGCACCCAAGCTCTCGTTGTGTTATGAGGGCCTCACAGCCCTCGGTCTGAGGAGCGAGGGAGGATGCTCCAATAGGGCATCTGACAGTCTGTGCACGCCTGGTACCCAGCCAGGACCTTTCCACCACCCCGCAGAATTGGTAATTACTAAAACCACGAGTTTGGCAAAGGACACTTTATTCCCTGGGCAGCCAGACTCTAATCCTTCTCACTAAGGATGTGGCTCAAAGGTATTTTTTGGGCTAAAAGGTGGTTTGAGATGTAGGGAAACCATTCAAAGAAGTGACAGCACTGGTGGCCCACATATGTGTAAACATGCTTCTGACCCTTCTTGGGAGGCCTGGTTAGAACATGGCCCTCGGCTGGGTCTGCCACCCCTGATGCCATAAGGGGCACAAGCCGAGAGGTCTGCTTTAGCATTTCCAACCAATTAAGATGATCTCTAAGTCTCTCTTAACAAAACAAAACAAAATAAAACAAAACCCAACTAAAGCCATTGAAGCAATCCTCGCGGGCCGCGCTCAACAAGGTGTTTACAGAGCTATGCATGGCTCTGTGCAGGCTGAGTCTTGTTTCTCTGTCACTTTAGTTAAGTCACTTCTGAAAGCAATGATGAGAGCCAGCGACAGTCGGAGAAACCACAGGGTGAATTTAGGGTTTCTCTGAGCTTCTGAAGAAGGCTTGTGCTCTTTGGGTTTTAAGGCCTCATTTTTTCTTTTTCTTTACTTTTTTTCTTTTTGAAGCAGGCTCTTGTCGTGTTGCCCAGGCTGGCCTAGAGTTTCTTCACTCCGGCCGTCCTCCTGCTCCAGCCTCTCAGGGGGGAGCAACGGGCACCGTCCTCTCTCCCTGGTCCCTCTAGATTTTAAACTTTAGGGCTGAAACATTTTATAAGAGAGAGATAAGAGGACCTTATTAGTTTGCTTATAGGGACTTGGTCACAGTCTGTGCTCCCCCACTATTAAACTGCTGCATCCTTAGAGGTAAAGCCATTTCTTTTCCTGGTTTGTTAAACCATTCTGCAACACGGCGACGCCCGCCACCCTTGGCACCCGCCACATCCTAGCCCTTGTAGTAGCGAGAGAACACGGAGATCCCCAGGTTGCCGCTTTGAGTGACACGCGAGAGAGCGCAGCCAAGCCCTCGTGGTAAAGTTAACGAGCTGTGTTGATGCCGCCGCTGCCGCGACTACCCGGGTTTTTATAACGTGTTGACGCGGTCCTCTTCTTGCGCTAGGCAACAATGTCTTGAGGACCATCCACGGGGTAGGAGAGATGATGACACAAATGGTGCTTAGCAGAGGCTCCATCTTCCCGGTGAGTGTGCCCGATGCACAGCCCAGCGCCCACCTCAGCAAGCAGGCAAGCCCCGGGGAGCAGGAGGACGTGACGGTGATGGACACCAAGCTGAAGGTCATCGAGATTCTGCAGGTGCGTCGCTGGCGGCCGATGCCGCGTGGCCCATTGGTTTCGTTTAAGCATTGTTGTTGTTGTTGGTGTGTGTGTGTGTGTGTGTGTGTGTGTGTGTGTGTGTGTGTGTGCTTGTGTGTGTAGCACAGGCTCACGTGGAACTTGTGGCCATCCTCCTGCCTCAGCCTCCTGAGGGCTGAGATTCCAGATGTTAGGCACCGCATCTGGTTTCACTGTGTAAACACACTGAGATGCTGTTGGCGTCACGTGAGTCTGAAATGTTGTTGGCCCCTTTTTATTCTGAAAAGCTATTGCCCCCCATTTTATTATTACTTTTAAGCGAAGGACGGAGCTGGCAACACGTCTCACGCCGTGGCTTCTTTCAACACTCGTCCTGTCGTGTGTTTTCTATCCCACGAAATACACTAGCGATGCCTCGCAATTGTGGAGAGCTTTGAGGGTGGCAAATGCTTTCCCGTGTGGCTTATTATCGGCTAGTATTGACCCCCATTGAATATTTTCTTCATTTAAGAGAGATTTTTTAAAAGCAGGCATATTTAACGATGGAATTCTAGTCATTTTCTGTTTTCAGTTGCTTAGAACTTATTTGTGAATTCCATATTTTCAGATTTCCTGCTGTTATAGGAAACCCAAAAGTTTTATGTCAGACATGTTGGTATGCACCTATTAATCTAGCGCTCAGGAGGCGGAGGCAGGAAGATTTCTGTGAGTTCAAGGCCAGCCTGAACAAGGGGAGACCCTGCTTCACCCCCAAATCATTATCTCCCAAACTTGCTAATTGTTGATTTTATTACTTTACACAGTTATTTCTCTTTGTGTTTCTAAGAGGCTAAGGATATTTTTCCACATTAGCAAAGTTTAATACTTAACCTTTATCAATTTAACGAGCTCAGTTATTTCATGCGCCAGACCTCTATACGATTTCTAGCATTTTTGGGGGGGAGGGTTAGCCTGGCTTACGGTACTTTTGTTTTAGCATTTATCCCAGGGTCAGAGAATGGAGCCTGTGGCTTTCTGGACTGTCTTGAGAATGCGAACGGGGTTTCCCCACATCTCTCATCACCATCTAACGTAGACCGAGCTACCAGAAATGGGTCAGCAGTCCTGGAAGGCCCCGTGCATTCTTCATCCTAAGTAATTAGATTTATAGTCATAAAACATTTCCCGGTTCCTCCAGGGTTTCCAAAGGCCAAGTCCCAAGAAATGTTGGCAGGTTTCCCCACCCTGTGTTCATGGCCTTGAAACTTCACGCAATGCTTTCTCCTGAAGCTGAGAAAGGACTGAAGGGGGCCCCCAGGTCAGCCCCGCCCTGCCTGCATAGCAGGATGGACGACCACGGATGCACGCCAACCCCCCCCCTCATTTTCAGCTAAGGTTTCAGCAGTGATGCCTTCCGCGGTGACTGTGGGACGTGGCGCTGTGTGGCTGCCGTCTGGCTCACTTCTGCCTCCTTCCACTTGAAGAATTTTTTTTTCTGAACCTCTTTTGCTGTCTGGCTCTGCACCCAGGACAATCTTGTGCCTTCTCAGGACATCTATTCATCACACCCTGGGTGGCTGCACTCGCTGGCTGCTGCTGGCTTTGTGCCAGCTCTTCCTCCTTAGGGTGGGGGGCAGGGGGGCGGCTCCCCTCTTTACCTCACTCAAGAACATGGTTTTCAGTGAACGATATTTTATTCTTGCCCTGTGACCTTACTTACTCTCTCTGTCTTTACAAGTTCACAATTTTATTTTATTTTTTCAAGACAAGGTTCATTCTGCATCCCTGACTGGCCCAGAGCTGGACGTGTAATGTAGGCTGTTCTTGAACTCATGGGAATCCTCCTGCTTCAGCCCCCCCCCCGCCGAGTGCTGAGGACGCTGGGATTACGGGTGTGAGCCACCATGCCTGGCCTTTTCTCTTGTCTTCTGTTTTCTTTCTTTTATCTCACACTCTCTGCATCTTCATACGTCAGAGGGGCAAAGGTTGTGAAATTCAGTTCTGTGAGTTTCCATCTCCAGCAGACGTGAAGGTTTCATTCATGTTTCATATTTCATTCTCCCCCCCCCCGCCGCCCCTTGGGCAATTGAGCTCTGAAAATCTCCTGCGTATTGAGTATCGATAGCCTAGCTCCGTCTCTATCCCATTCACCGGGGTCTCTTCACCCAGTGTGTGCCGTACTCACTGCAGGTTACCAGAGTCACTGTGGGGTTTGTCTTTACTTCTGGGCTTTACACTCCTCAAGGTCCACATTTGCAGCCTGGCCACCTTAAAATATTATGTTAAAAAGGATTTTTAGCTTGTGTGTGTGTGTGTGCACACGCGTGCAGGTGCCTGCAGAATCCAGAGAGCATCAGATCCCTTGGAGATGGAGTTGCAGGTGGTTGTGTGCCGTCTGACATGGGTGCTGGGAATCACAGAAGCAGTGTCTCCCCAGCCCCCTCGGGCACCTTTTATACGACGCCCTCTTCCTTAATCCCTGGCTAGCAAACGAGGATGAGCTGAAGTAAGAGGAGCTTGCTTTTGTCCAGATGCAGCATAAGAAAGATCTTCAAAGTGTGGGGGAGAGGACGGGTGGAGATGGAGGGAGAGAGGGTGGGAACGGAAGGGGTAGGTAAGAAAAGATAAAGAAAAGGGGAGAGAGGGAGAAAGGGAGGGAGGGAGGGAGAAATGGAGTGAGAGGGGGGGTGGATCCATCCAAATCCTGGCCATGGAATCATAAGAAGCCTCCCACGGACACTTTCAGTGTCTCGAGAGCTCTCCCCTCTCTCACGGGTACAGCGGGCTCTGAAGAAGCGTGAGGGTGCAGCAGGAAATGGTGTGTGACAACGGTGGCCACGGGACAGAGGAGTGTGAGCACTGAGAGAGGGGGTGAGGCCTGGGGAGGAAGGGAGGGCGGTGGAAACAGCAGGCTACTGAGAACACAGAAGCCGGCTCTTCTGTAGCCTGGGCTACCGTGTGTAGTCTACTGTTCCCCGAAGGAGGAGGCCGCAGGACACCCGTAGTAGCTGTGCTCGGAAATCTGGCCCATCTCAGGCGGGCTGAGATCTGCAGTGCATCCCTCCTGATGGTCTCCTCTGATCCTGTGGAGGCTCAGCCCCACACATCATCTCCTAACAGAGCCATCCCCCGTTTTCCCAGGGCAATGACTTGCTCCTTCCAGGCAGGGATTCTCAGTGTTTGGGTTCCCCAAGGCTCCCCGCAGAGCTCAGGCCTTAAGGGCTGTTTTATCACAGTCCACACATCAGCCACCTCTGAAATGACGATGATAACTGAAACCCGAGGGGACACAGACACAACGGAGAGGCCCAGGAGCCAGCATTCTGGCATTCCAGCTGTCCTGGCTTCTGCGCAGAGGGCTGTGGGACTGGAGTAACTCCACTGCAGTCGAAGCCCCCGCCTTTCTGTGCACAAAAGATGCTCCAGCGTCTCCCTCTCAGCAAAGGATGTTACTGCCAGCGTGTCTGGGATCAGACCAGCTTTGCCTCTTCAGACACACGAGACGCCCCTCCCTGGAGTATCCAGAGGACAATGTGGGGCACCAGGTGTCTTTGTTTCCAAAACTCGTTGTAGACCGGGTGTGGCACACACCTGTGATCCAAGCTCTTGGAAACAGGAGTTCGAGGGTAACCCCTCTGCTACCTAGGGAGTCTGAGGCCAACTGGGCTGCAGGAGACCTTATCTCAAAAGCAACCAACCAAAAAACCTAACCAAACAACCAAAAAGATAAAAAAAAACCCAGAATTAATTAATTAATTGATTACCGTGGGCTTTCATTAATACTGACCAATGAAAACATAATCCTTCCCTTCATTTTAAAACTGACCAAAAACAGGTAAACAACCGAGAATTTATAGCTTACAAACAAGATCTCTGATTGGTTCATTTGGAAGATGGACAGCACGGTGGTTGGTGCGTGCCCCGACTGGCATTAAAAATTCATTGTGTGTAGCCGGGCGTTGGTGGCGCACGCCTTTAATCCCAGCACTCGGGAGGCAGAGGCAGGTGGATCTCTGTGAGTTCGAGGCCAGCCTGGTCTAAAGAGCAAGTTCCAGGACAGCCTCCAAGACAATACAGAGAAACCCTGTCTCGAAAAAAAAAAAAAAAGAAACAAAAACAAAAAACCACAATTCATTGTGTGCGCATGAGGGCACACGTACCGCAGTGTTTGTCATGGAGGCCCGAGGACAGCTTGGTGGAGTCTCTTTCCTTCCACCTTGACATGAGTTCAGGCATGGAACCCGGGTTCCCGGGCTTTCTCGGCGAGGGAGGGCCTTACCCTCTGAGCCATCTCCCCAGCCTGGGACTTGCGTTCAAGGGCTGTGCTGCCCGGCTGCCCAGTCTTTAGCGGCATGGCGTCTTTCCGGTGCTCACCCATGGGACTGAGTTCGCCATGCTGCTTCTTCCAGTTCATCCTGAGTGTCAGGCTGGATTACCGGATCTCATACATGCTGTCCATATACAAGAAGGAATTTGGGGAGAGCAATGACAACGGTGAAGCCTCTGCCAGTGGATCCCCGGACACGCTGCTGCCGTCAGGTATCTTCTAGACAGTATTTGTCATTTTTGCATCTTAAGTTCTTTTCAAAATTTGTCTTAGGTGATGCTTTTTATTCCTTGAAGATCTCTTGTGTTTATACAATGTATTTTGATCCTATTCGTCCATCGCTATCTCCCTCCAACTCCCTCCCCTCCCCTAGCCCCGCCCCCTAGCTCACTCCCTTGTTCTTATTGTTGTTAACCATTGAATCCAGTTAGGGCTGCCCATAGGAACATGGGTGTGTGGGGACATCGTCAACCTACGGATAGCCACGCCTTCAAAGAAGAGTGGCTCTCCCTTCCTCAGCAGCCATCAGTTGCCAGTACCCACGCTGGAGATGCGGCTGGCCCGGTCTTGTAGAGGTGCCCAAGGCTGCTGTGAGCTTACGTGTGTGCCAGCCACCCCATGTCTAACATGGGCATCTCAGTGCGCTCCTCCCCCTTTACGGACTCTTAACTCTCTTCCCGCCACATCTTCTACAACGTTCCCTGCACCTTGGATGGTGGGAGGCTGGAGGTGACCCGGCCCCAGCCGAGCCCTCCGTGTGATTTATCCTGTGTGTTTTGACCGGTTTCTCTGCATTAACCATTGCCCAAGCAACAGGAAGCTTCTCTGACCAGAGCTGAGGGCCAGCACGGACCTACGCATATAAACACAGACATCTGGAGAGCTTTTCAGCAGCACAGGCATCTAGAGAAACTACAATAGTAGGTTCCGTGACAGGGCCTCTGCTCTCCCCAGTCATGGGCTTTTGAGTAGACCCCGATCCCTGCTGTAGTGCAGGCTGCACGTCCGGTTAAAAAGAGGCTGGTCACTCCTTTACCCACCATGCCACTGTCGCAGCAGCGGGCACATCTTGTCAGCTTGTCAGTATTGAAATATGCAGGGTCCTGCTCTGGGTGCGGTCTGAAGCATTTTCTCCTCTGGGTTCTCTGTAAACTGCCCAGCAGGAGGACAGCTTCCTGCTCTGATGAGGCTGGCCTCTCTGTGTCCGGGATCCAAAGTCAGTCAGCGGTGTCTTCAGCAGTTGGCTCTTGTCTTTTAGTTTCGGTGGGCAATCACAATGATCTGTGTTGTTCTGGGTGCCCTCCCGGGGGGCAGGGCCTCTGTGATGGACCAATAACTCACAGGGAGGTATTCTGTGCCTTGCACTGAGATTTTAATGTAAAACGACCTGTGTTTCCTAGAAGTAGCACCATCTACCCATGCAGGGGACTTCTGTTCAGATTCGTGTGTGCATGCGTGTATATACACATGTATGTGTGTATATGCACATGTGTGTTGTCTGTATATATATATGTGTGTGCATGTGTATGTGTGTGTGGTATGTGTGTACATATATGCATATATGGATGTGTGTCCATACATATGTGCGCATGTGTGCATGTATATAGATGCATATGCACATGTGTATTTGCATGCATGGGTGGTGTGCATATATATGTATACATATGTATACACATATACATATGTGTATATGCACACATGTGTGTGTATATGCTTGCTTTAAAGACCCCAAGCACCTTCGTACCTGTCTTAGAAACAAACGTGTTTCTTTGTCAGAAGATGACAGTCTCACCCAGGGGACGCTGAGACAGAGCAAGAGACAGAGGAACTTGCTGTTTTTGGCATTGTGTGTCTGGTACATGCCTGTCCCCATACAGCCCCCACTGTGACAGGTAGGGGGTGCTGTGATTGTGCATTTCACAGAGGGGAGTGACTTGGGAACATCAGTGTGTTTGTTTTATTGTTGCCGTGATGAAAGCAGCTCCAGGGAGGAAGGGCGACATGCAGTTCAGTATGGGAGGAGCAGGGAGGGGCAGGGAGGGGCAGGGAGGGGCAGGGTGTGAGGTGATCAGGACACATAGTCTCCACAGTCAGGAAGTCAGGAAAGGTGAATGCTGGAACTGGGCTCACTCTCCCCTGTTTAGTACAGGACACCCTCACAGACACAGCCAGGGTGTGGTTCCATGGTGATTCTACATGCAGGCAGGTCCACAGCGAGGGCTACTAGGGTCACCAAAGCCCCGGGCCCCGTGGTGGTGCCGGGCTCTGTGTCTTCCTGCTTAGGAATCCCACCTCCCATTTGGATAATAGAATGCCTCTGAGACTTGGAGCATAACCCAAGGGGCGTAAAAATGGCTGTAAAACTTGAGGCTGTAGAAAGGGCTTTGTGAAGACTAAGAAATATTAGCTCCTCTTTTTCCTGGTTGGGCCAGGTCAGTCTTGGTCTAGGCAGCCAGTTAGCAAAGCCATTCTGAGGGAGCAGTTGTGCAGACTGGAAACTCCTGGGCAGTGTGAGGATCCCCATCCTTCTCCAGCCATCAGTGGGTCAGATAAGAACGTTCATTGACTGCTAGTGCAGCCAGGGGGGAGGGGACCAGACCAGTTGTCTCACTACCCTCCTCTGCTCTGCAGGCAGCCTTCCCTGCAGACCTGCAGCCACCCTTCCGCCCAGGCCAGGAGCCTCTGCTGGCACCCAGGCAACACAGCAGTTTCCCAGAAGTGCAGAACCCCAAAGGGCTGTTTCCAGGAATGATCAGGCAGAGCCAGAAAGTCATGCTGGTGGCAGCATTGACAGAAACAGGCTTCTGGAAACAGGAGCTCTGAGTGTCAGTAAAACACCCAAGCAAACGTTAAAGGCATCCCCAGGAAATACTGATGAGCCTCACTCCCTCCCTCCCTCCCTCCCTCTCTGCTTCCCTGCCTCCCTCCCTCCCTGCCTCTCTCCCTCCCCCTCTGTGATATGTTTCTGGAGAGAAAAGAATTTTCCCCTTCACTTTGTATCTTGATCTCTTTTCATGCTCTAGAGATGAGAAATACAGAATCTATCATTTGAACATGTTGTCTTAGTAAAGGTATCTTCAAAATGGTGGTGGCAGGGCATAGCGAGGACTTGAGATCGGGTCACATGGGAAATGACCCCACCCCTTACAAGAAAAAGAAAAGGAATTTCTTTTTTTTGAACTTTTTTTTACTGAGCTATACTTGTCCCCCCCCCACTCCCCTTGTCTCCTCCCCTCTTCCCTTCCACCCTCTCCCCCGTCCCCCACGCTCCTAAGTTACTCAGGAGATCTTGTCTTTTTCCCCTTCCTGGCAGATCCACGTGTGTCTCTCTTTGTTACCTAGGTTCTCTGGGGCTGTGGACTGTAGGCTGCTTGTCCTTTGCTTTATGTCTAATATCCACTTATGAGTGAGTATGTATTATATTTGCTTTCTGGGCCTGGGATACATCGCCCAGGATGTTTTTTTTTCCCCTAGTTCCATCTATTTGCCTGCAAATTTCAAGATTCCATTGTTTTTTTCTGCTGAGTAGTACTCCATTGTGTAACTGTACCACATTTTCTCTATCCATTCTTCAGTTGAGGGGAATCTAGGTTGTTTCCAGGTCCTGACTATTATGAATAATGCTGCTATGAACATTGAGCAAATGTCCTTGTATTGTGAGTATGCATCCTTTGGGTATATGCCCTAAAGTGGTGTTGCTGGGTATTGTGGTAGATGGATTCCCATTTTTCTGAGAAACCACAATACTGATTTCCAAAGTGGCTATAAAAGTTTGCACTCCCACCAGCAATGGAGGAGTGTTCCCCTTACTCTACATCCTCTCCGGCATAAGCCGTCATGGGTGTTTTTTGATCATAGCCATTCTGACAGGAGTAAGATAATATCTCAGAGTTGTTTTGATTTGCATTCCTCTGATGGCTAAGAATGTTGAGCTTATCCTTAAGTGTTTTTCAGCCATTTGAGAGTCTTCTGTTTAGATCTGTACCCCATTTTCAAAATTAGATTATTTGGTAGTCTAGTTTCTTGAGTTCTTTATATATTTTGTAGATCAGCCCTCTGTCAGATGTGGGGTTGGAAAAGATCTTTTCCCATTCTGTAGGCTGCTATTTTGTCTTGTTGACTGTGTTCTTTGCCTTACGGAAGCTTCTCAGTTTCAGGAGGTCCCGTTTATTAATTGTTGATCTCAGTGTCTGTGTTACTAGTGTTATATTTAGGAAGTGGTCTCCTGTGGCAATATGTTCAGGACTGCTTCCCACTTTCTCTTCGTTGAGGTTCAGTATGTTTGGTTTAGTGCTGAGGTCTTTGATCCATTTGGACTTGAGTTTTGTGAATGGGGATAGATATGGATTTCTTTTCAATCTTCTACATGTCAACATCCAGTTATACCAGCACCATTTGTTGAAGATACTTTCTTTTTTTCCATTTTATAGTTTTAGCTTTTTTGTCAAAAATCAGGTGTTCATGGTTATGTGGATTGATATCAGGGTCTTCAATTTGATTCCATTGGTCTACCTATCTGTTTTTGTACCAATACCAAGCTGTTTTCATTTCTGTAGCTCTATGATAGAGATTGAAGTCAGGGATGATAATGCCTCCAGAATTTCCTTTATTATACAAGATTATTTTGGCTATCCTTGCTTTTTGTTTTTCCATATAAAGTTGAGTATTATTTTTTCAAGGTCTGTGAAGAATTGTGTTGGGATTTTTATGGAGACTGCATTGAATCTATAGATTGATTTTGGCAAGATTGCCATTTTTACTATGTTAGTCTTACCTATCCAAGGGCATGGGAGATCTTTCCATTTTCCGATGTCTTCTTAAATTTCTTTTCCCACGGATTTAAAGTTCCTGTCATAGAGGTCCCTTCATTTGTTTGGTTAGAGTTACCCAAGATATTTTATGTTATTTGTGGCTATTGTGAAGGGTGATGTTTCCCTGATTTCTTTCTTGGCCCCTTTATCATTTGTATATAGGAAGGCTACTTTTTTTAGTTAATCTTGTATCCTGCTACTTTACCTGATGTGTTTATGAGATGTAGGAATTCTCTGATAGAATTTTTTGAGTCTCCCATGTGTACTATCATATCAGCATAGAGTGAAAATTTGACTTCTTCTTTTCCAATTTGTATCCCCTTGATCTCCTTTTGTTGTCTTATTGTTCTATCTAGGACATTGAGCTTGATACTGAATAGATGTGGAGAGAGTGGATAGACTTGTCTTGTTCCTGCTTTTAGTGGAATCGCTTTGAGTTTTTCTCAATTTAATTTGCTGTTAGGTATTGACTGCATATTGTCTTTATTATGTTTAGGAATGTTCCTTTTATTCTTGATCTCTCCAAGACCTTTATAATGAAGGGGTGTTGGATTTTGTCAAAGGCCTTTTTCAGCATATAATGAGATAGATGATGATGTGTTTTTTTTTCTTTCAGTTTGTTTATGTGGTGGATTACATTGATGGATTTTTATATGTTGAACCATTCCTGCATTCCTGGGATGAAGCCTACTTGATCATGGTGGATGTTTTTTCTGATGTGTTCTTGGATTTGATTTGACAGTATTTCATTGAGTATTTTTGCGTTAGTATTCATGGGGGAGATTGGTCTGCATTTCTCCTTCTTAGTTGCGTCTTTGTGTGGTTTGGGTATCAGCGTAATTGTGGTCCTGTAAAAAGAGTTTGGTAATCTTCCTTCTGTTTCTATTGTGTGGAACAATTTCAAGAGTATTGTTATTAGCTCTTCTTTGAAATTCTGGTAGAATTCTTTGCTGAAACCATCTGATCCTATTTTTTTTTTTGGTGGAGAGACTTTTGGTAACTGTTTCTATTATTTTAGGCGTTATAGGTCTGTATAATTTGTTTACCTGATCTTGATTTAATTTTGATATATGGTACTTATCCAGGAATTGTCCATTTCCTTTAAAATTTCCAATTTAGTGGAGTTTTGGAAGTATGACCTAATGATTCTCTGGATTTCCTAAGTGTCTGTTGTTATGTCTGCCTTTTCATTTCTGATTTTGTTAATTTGGATATTCTCTCTCTGACTTTGGTTAGTTTGGATAAAGGTTTGTCTATCTTATTGATTATTTCAAAGAATCAACTCTTTGTTTCATTGATTCTTTGTATTATTTTCTTTGCTTCTATTTTATTGATTTCATCCTTCAATTTGATTATTTCCAGCCATCTACTCCTCCTGGGTGAGTTTGCTTCTTTTTGTTCTATATCTTTCAATTGTGTTAATTCACTAGTGTAGGATTTTTTCAGTTTCTTCATGTGGGCATTTAGTGCTATGAACTTTCCTCTTAACACTGCTTTCATTGTCCCATAAGTTTGGGTATGTTGTGCAGTCATTTTCACTGAAATTTAGGAAGCCTTTAATTTATTTTTTTCAAATTTATTCCTTGACCCATTGGTGATTCAGTTGAGTATTGTTCAATTTCTATGAGTTTGTGGGTTTTCTGCAGTTAGTGTTACTATTGAATTCTAACTTTAAATTATGATGATCTGATAAGATACAGGGGGTTATTCCAATTTTTAAATATATGTTGAGATTTGTTTTGTTACCAAGTATGTGGTCAGTTTTAGAGAAGGTTCCATGTGGTCCTGAGAATAAGGTGTATTCTTTTATGTTTGGGAGGAATGTTCTATAGACTGTTAAGCCCATTTGAGTCAAGACATCTGTTAGTACATTTATTTCTCTGTTAGGTTTCTGTTTGGTAGACCTGTCCAGTGCTGAGAGTGGGGTGTTGAAGTCTCCCACTGTAAGTGTTTTGTGTTTCATGTGCTATTTAAGCTTAGTAATGTTTCTTTTACAAATGTGGGTGCCCTTGTATTTGGCGCACATATGCTCAGGTTGGAGATTTCATCTTGATGGATTTTTTTTCCTGTGACAAATATGGAATGTCCTTCTTCATCTCTTTTGATTACTTTTAGTTTGAAGTCTATTTTGTTAGATATTAGGATAGCTACACCAGCTTCTTTCTTAGGTCCATTTGATTGGAAAATCTTTTTCCAACCCTTTAATTTCAAGGAATGCCTATTCTTGTAGTTGAGGTATGATTCTTGTATGCAGCAGAAGGATGGGTTCTGCTTTTGTATCCAATCTGTTAGCCTCTGTCTTTTTATAGGTGTATTGAGTCTGATGATATTGAGGGATATTAATGACCAGTGATTGCTAGTTCCTGTTATTTTGTTTTTGTTGGTTTTGTGTATACATTTCCATGCTTTGGGATTTGCTGTTGTGGGATTATTTTTTTGCCTGTGTTTTTGGGGGTGTAGCTAATTTCCTTGAGTTGGAATTTTCTTTCTGGTTCTCTCTGTAGGGCTGGATTTATTGATAGATATTGTTTAAATCTTGTTTTTTTTTCATGGAACATTTTGCTTTCTCCATTTATGGTCACTGAAAGCTTTGCTGGATATAATAGTCTGGGCTAGCATCCGTGGTCCCTTAGTGTCTGCATAACATCTGTCCATGACTTTCTGGCTTTCGTTGTTTCCATTGAGAAGTCAGGTGTAATTCTAATAAGTTTGCCTTTATGTGTTACTTACCCTTTTTCCTTTGCAGCTCTTAATATTCTTTCTTTATTCTGTATGGTTAGTGCTTTGATTTTTGTGTGGTGAGAGGACTTTTTTGTTTTGGTGCAGTGTATTTGGTGTTCTGTAAGCTTCCTGTACTTTAATAGGCAAATTTTTCTTTTGATTGGGAAAGTTTACTTCCATGACTTTGTTGAATATGTTTTCTGTGTCTTTAAGCTATAATTCCTCCCCTTCTTCTATCCCGGTTATTCTTAGGTTCACTCTTCTCATGGTGTACCAGATTTCCTGAATATTTTGGGTTAAAAAATTTGTTGGATTTAGCATTTTTTTTGTCTGATGGATCTGTTACCTCAATTGTGTCTTCAATGCCTGAGAGTCTCTGGTCCATCTCTTGTATTCTGTTGTTTATGCTTGCATCTGTAGTTCCTCATTGTTTAGCCAGGTTTTCTATTTCCAGAGTTTCCTTATTTTGTGTTTTCTTTATTGCCTCTGTTTCATTTTTTTAAAAAGTCTTGAACTGTTGCCTTTGCCTGTTTGATTGCTTTTTCTTGATTTTCTTCTAGAGATTTGTTGAGTTATTGTTTTTTGTTTGTCTTTTCCTCCATTTCTTTAAGGGAGTTTTTCACTTCCTCTCTAAGGGCCCCTATCATCTTCATAAAGTTCCCTTTAAGGTGTTTTCTTCTGCTTCCTCTGGGTCGGGATGATCAGGTCTTGCTGTGGTAGAGCCACTAGGTCCTGGAGGTCTCTTTATGTCATCGAGTGTGCTCTTATCTTGTTGTCTATGCATCTCTTCTTCTGATCAGTACAGGCGGAGCCTGTGCTTCAGGGGCTTCCCTAACTTTCTCCAGTTGGTGTAGTTGGGGGATGTTGCTCTGTTGGTTGCTCCTCCGGGAGCAGGCAGGGCTGAGTCCCTGGCGACTGCTCTTCTGATGCTCCAGAGGTTGCTGATGTTGCTGGGTGTTACGTGCAGAGAATGATGCTTGCAGGCTGGCTGGGACGAAGGTGCTCTTCCTAGAGGAGCTTCTTACTACTGTTTCTGGCAGCCGCTGCTGAGGAAGCTCTAGGGCTGCCCAGTTCATGCTCCTCCTCCTGCTCCCCAGTTGGTTGGTTGTGACCAGCCTGGCCTGGCTCATGCACCTCCTTCCTCTCCCTGGTTGGTAGGGGAGAAGGAATTTCAGACGTAGAAAGTTCACATTGAAGGGGAGCACAGTGGCTCTTTACATGGGTTTCAATTCGTTAAGAAAAATGCTTTTCCCTTGGGTCTGGTGAGATGGCCCAGCTGTTGAGAGCAGTGGCTGATCTTGAAGAACCCTGGTTAGGTTCCCAACACCTGCATGGTGTCTCACAACTGTACGTCTGAGATCCTTTCCCAGCCTCTGTGGATGCTGCACACAGGTGGCACAGAGACATACATGCAGGAAAAGCATCTGTACGCATGAAACAAAAACAAGGGAGAAAAGATTGCTCTTCTATGCCATTAGCAGTGTAATTTGTGTGTATTTTTATGGAGGGACACACATGTATTTGACATATCAAATACAAACATACACACTCATAAATAATATCACCTTTGTGAAGTTGCCTCTTGGTCTTTTAACACATCTGATGGCAGTAATATAAAGATAGTATAAGTAATATATGCACAACTTATATTAAAGTATTGGAGAACGAGATAGCACATTTATAGCCTGGATTCAATATGTAGCATCTAAATACACACACACACACACACACACACACACACACACACACACACACACACACGCAGAAACTGTAGTTAAGATGTTCAAGTTTGTTCTAGCTTTGTTTCTGTTTTTGTGATAAACTACTCCAGGAAAAAGCAATTTAGGGGAGGAAGGGGTTTGTTTCAGTCTATATTTCCAGGTTCATCATGACAGGGAAGTCACACAACATGCCCTTGAGAGAACATGTCATCTTATCATGTCCACACTCAGGATGAGAGAGAAGTCAGTGCACACATGCTTGCTCATTTGTGCTCAGGATCTCCTACCTAGGGAATGGTGCCACCCACGGTGGGCTGGATCTTCCCACATCAATGAACATTAGGAATCAGACAGCCCCGCCCACATGCCTACAGGCTAACCCAATACAGACAATTCCTCACTGGAAATGTCTCCCTAGGCAATTCTACTTTATGTCAAACTGACAAAGCACCATCCCATTGATTAAATGGAACCGTATTGTAACTTTCTCAACTATTAACATTCGGTGTCACAAAAAGTATTAAAACAACATGAGTTAAGACAAGATGAAGACTTTCCCTGTGTGTCTTCACAGCTATTGTTCCTGACATTGACGAGATTGCAGCCCGGGCAGAAACGATGTTTGCTGGAAGGTACTGTAATGAGTCTTTTTATCTTACATGTGAAATACCTAGAATTTTTGTCTAGCTTGTTATCATTCATCTTTTAGTGCATGTTTAGATACCCCAGTTCCTGCTGACATAATTTCTGCCAGAAATGAAGCTTGGAATTTACTCTAGGGGAAAGAGCATGACTCTTAAAACCCCTTAAACAATGGGAGAAAAGAGATTCATGTACTTAACTTCCTCGGACTTAGCTTTTCTTTCCTTAGAGGATGGCAGCACACAGATTCCCTTTAGCTCTCCTGATAGAAACATTGTAGTATCTTGTAACACATTGTGTCCCAGAGTCTTAGATCACTGCCGCAAGAAAGTAGCATCTTTGATGCTATCCTTAACTTTATGCTTGAGAAGTCAGGCATCTCATGCCGCTTAGAAGTGTCCATGATGGAAGAAAATAAGACGCCGTGACATGACCAGTCTCCTTTGCTGCCACGTCCTGGCATGTATTGTTGTCAAGTTTATTTTTCAGAAATGAAATAATAGCAATCAAAATGAGAAAGTAAATATTAGCTAGAATTACTGTGATTCATTTTTATTACAGACCTTAGGTAACCTGAAGAGATCGAAATGTCCACACTGAACTCCCTACTGCCTCTTTTTTTCTTAGAAAGGGGAAAAAGAGGGCTGGAGAGATGACTCAGAGGTTAAGAAAGAGGGAAAAGGGTTAAGATTAACATAACTATAAGACCCACAGTTTCATGCTAGCCTTGGCTACATAGTGTGAATCTGTCTAGGGGAGGGGGGGGGAGAAAGGAGATAGGGAGGAAGGAGGGAGGGAGGTGGGAGGGAGAAAGGAAGGACAGAGCCCCTGGATTTATTGTTGAGTGAGCATTTGGTATAGCTTCATTTTTCTATTGTTATGATTTCCCAGTGAAGTATTTTATATTATCTAGGGAAAAAAGATAAATCCAGTCAATGATTTTTATCTTAACACACAGACATGAGCTGCATAATGTCGCTTTGGCCAAAGATGGCTCCAGGTGATAGACTGACGAGGACAGAATTGTGTTCTATAAAATGGCATGAACTGGAAAATCCCCAGAGACGAGTGACTTCATAGCCATCCGGTTGTTGCAGTGTGAGAGTGTCCGTGGGGAAGCTTGAGGAAAGCCCCCCACAGCCAGCTGTGTCAGCGTGTGGCGTGTGCAGTCACACGCAGAAAATGTAGTACTCAAGAGTGATTGTTACTGGCTTATGCACTGAATATATGTTTAACCATTATTTTGGGGTATCTGCATGCATGTGTGTGAGACAGTGTATGCATATGTATGAGTGTGTGAGTCTGTGTATGCATGCATGTAGGTGCATGTGCATGCAGGGTGTGAGTGTGTATGTGCATGCATGTAGGTGTGTATGCATGTAGGGTGTGAGTGTGTGAGACAGTGTATGCATGCATGTATGAGAGTGTGTGTGCATGCATGTAGGTGCATATGCATGCAGGGTGTGAGTATGTACATGTATGCATGTAGGTGTGTGTGCATGCAGGGTGTGAGTGTGTGTGCATGCGTGTAGGTGCATGTGCATGCAGGGTGTGAGAGTGTGTGTGCATGCATGTAGGTGCGTGTGCATGCAGGGTGTGAGTGTGTATGTGCATGCATGTAGGTGTGTATGCATGTAGGGTGTGAGTGTGTGAGACAGTGTATGCATGCATGTATGAGAGTGTGTGTGCATGCATGTAGGTGCATATGCATGCAGGGTGTGAGTATGTACATGTATGCATGTAGGTGTGTGTGCATGCAGGGTGTGAGTGTGTGTGCATGCGTGTAGGTGCATGTGCATGCAGGGTGTGAGAGTGTGTGTGCATGCATGTAGGTGTGTGAGCATGCAGGGTGTGAGTGTGTGAGACAGTGTATAAATGCATGTGTGACTGTGTGTGTGCGTGTGTGAGTGTGTATATACATGCATGTAAGTGCATAATGCCCTCTGTAATTCTTGCCCAACCACAGAGTGGTCTAAGGATCATGTCCCGGAGCACAGCCCACCAGCAGCAGCACGAGCCCTGGAGAGCTCCCCCCCCCAGTGG